GTGACCCAACATTTCATATAGTGTCAATTGTGTAGCTCAGTACATGAATGCGCCTTGTACTCAACATTGGGTGGCCGTGAAACGCATTTTGCGTTATTTGTGTGGGACACTTGATTATGGTCTAGTGTTTCAAAAGACAGGATTCGGTCTACACTTGGAAGCTTTTACGGATGCCGATTGGGCAAGCAATGTTGATGATCGTCGTTCGATATCCGGGTTTTGTGTTTTTCTTGGAGGTAATCTAGTGTCTTGGGGTTCCAAGTGCCAACGGTCAATCTCTCGGTCGACTACTGAGGCTGAATATCGTGCGTTAGCAGATGTTGTGACCGATGTTGTTTGGATTCAAGCCTTGTTGACAGATATGGGAATTCTGCCATCAAGCACTCCCGTTGTTTGGAGTGATAATACGAGTGCGATAGCGATGAGTGCCAATCCTGTTATGCATTCTCGATCGAAACATGTTGAATTAGACCTCCATTTCATTCGGGAGAAGGTTACTGCCGATAAAGTTCGAGTTAATTATATTCCTGCTCAACATCAAAAAGCTGATGGATTCACGAAGTCTTTGTCTCGGGCTTATTTTTCTTTGTTTTGCTGCAATCTCAAAATCTATTGTAAAGTTCTGGAGTCCATAGACAGTAGGGAGAATGTTAACTATTATGATAATAGCAGTGAGTAACAAATATGTTGTTATTGGGTTGTTAGGAAGAATGTGCCAGCAAGGCAAGTCTGGTGTAACTGCTCCAGCTAAGAATATTCTAGCAGGTATTGTAAAACGATGTATATGTGGTAATTGGGAAATGAAGAAGATGAAGCATTCATTGAATCAAAGTTCAACATTGTTGAACCAAGACGAAAATTCCCCACTCAAAGCCACGGATTTAGGTCTGTCGGTCTTTTACAAGCCAGGTAAAGATTTGAAAAAATCAAAAACCGTTATTAGACTCGAACCTTGCGAATTCCTGCTTTCGGAACAGGTGATGTATTTAAAGATATCGCCGGTAGAGCGTATTATATGGCACCAGTAGTATTGGAGAAGAAATATGGACCTGAAGCTGATATTTGGAGCATTGGAGTTATGTTATACATTCTTCTATCTGGTGTTCCACCCTTATATACACACACGCATACACATATCTTGAAGCATGAAGCTAAGATGATTGTTTCCGACATATAGAAAACGAAAACGCGATCTTCAGTGAGATTTTACGTGGCGATGTCGATTTTACGAAAGATCCATGGCCTTCAATTTCACCTCAAGCGAAGGATCTTGTTGAGAAAATGCTTAACTTGGATCCCAATCAACGGTTAACAGACCAACAAGTATGTATGATTTTTTTCTTGGTAGCATTATCTGCTTAGTGGCTCATGACCGTGATAAATGCGATGAGATCGAAAATTATGTAGTCTGACCAAGTGTATGGCCACCAACAGGTCATCCGTGGATCAAAGAGGACCGTGAAGCACCCGATACACCTCTCGACAACTCGGTTCTAGTCAGGTTCAAACAGTTCAAAGCGATGAACAACTTCAAGAAAGTTGCTTTGAGGGTCATTGCAGACTGTTTCTCGGAGGAAGAAATCCAGGGACTGAAGGAGATGTTCAAGGGCATGGGTACCGATAACAGCGGGACAATAACGCTCAAAGAATTGAAATAATGCCTCGCGATGAAAGGAACAAAGCTAAGCGAATTCGAAGCTAAACAATTAATGGAGGCAGTAAGTTTTGTTTCCAAAGATTCAATATATGGTGTTCTTTTTCAATACTCATTCATCTCTTTTTTGTTAAAAAAGGCCGACGCAGACGGCAACAGAACCGTAGACTATGAGGAGTTCATCACGGCCACCATGCACATGAATCGAATGGATCTAGAAGAACATCTGTATCGAGCCTTCCAACACTTTGATAAAGACAATAGCAGGTAATTATAATAATAAAAACCAATATTTAGTATCAATACTCCTTACAATTAATCGCGATATGCATACTTGCAGGTACATCACCATAGAAGAGCTAGAGCAAGGTCTTCGTGACTACGGCATGCATGACGACAAAGGAACAAAGGAAATCATTTCGGAAGTTGACTCCGACAATGCAAGTAATACGTACATACATACATCCACACATACATATACGTATGAAATCATTTCGGAAGTTGACTCCGACAATGTAAGTAAAACATACATTCATACATCCACATATACATATACATATGAAATCATTTCGGAAGTTGACTCCGACAATGTAATTAATACATCCACACATACATATACGTATGTTCGTGCGTACATGCATGCATGCATCCATACAAACATATAAAGTTGACATACTTTTCTGTTATGGAATGAAATGATAAACTACGATGAATTCGTGGCAATGATGAGAAAATGAAATCTTGAAACGAACCCGAAAAGACGACGTGATGATGTCTTCGTCGAAAAAAGTTAAACGTTATGATCAAATATTTTCGTGTAACAGAAAAACAATATAACATTAGGAGAGAATTTGACTGATCGAGAAGATTGGTTAAAGGAGGAAAATTTTAATTTTTTGATTGGAATGTTTGTAAACGAAATGCACTAAAAATAAAATCTAATAACATTTTTTGTCCTCAAAACTTTTAAAAAGCTATTTTAACCTTCAAAAAAATTCCTTATTTTTTAACCTCTTAACTTTTAATTTATTATCAAATTGAATAAATTAACCAAAAAAATATCAAAAAATTAATAATAAAGAGCCATTACATTAGGTTCTTACACGAGTAAGGGCAGCCGTGACAGTAACGAAATCGACAAAGGATTAACATCAACAAGAGAGTCAGAATTGCTGAAAGCCATCCTAGTTAAATAGTCAGGTGCCTCATTTGTTTTTGGTTGTATTTTCAAGAAAAGCTCCGAGACAAACACTCATATGATCTCGGAAAATGCCTCCAATCAATCCACATCCTGTGGAGTGTGAGACAGCACCATCCGTATTTAGAGCGATTCACCCCAGTTCAGGTGGTAGCCACTGTACTTGTAGTTTTTTTACTCGTTTGATTATTTTTATATATTTTGAATTTTCTACAAAAATAAATAAAATATTTAATTTCAACATCAACATAAATATAAAATGATTAACATTAATTCAATTTAACAAAAAAAATAGAAGTTCAAAAGTTCAAATAAAATAAATTAAAATTTTAAAAGTTTATAACATATTCACTATTAAATGTATAAAATTTAAACTTGTTATATATATATTTGAGCATGTTATACTATATATTAAATTGTATCAAATTGGTCCAAATTTGACGAGGGTCCCACTTCTATTCTAATTTATCTTCGATGACAATGTATATAATATAATTAAAAAAAACCCTAAAGCAGCTAAAACCTCACCGTTCCACTCTCATGAGCTACGTATAAAATTCCTCCGGCTATCCAACGGCGGAGCTATCTCTCCTCCTGAGGTTAAAACTTGCAGAATGGTTCATCTGAGCACAGCCCTCGAAGTGTCCGGTGAAGCCAGTGATTCTCGAGATCTCTTCTGGTTCTGATATTACTAATATTATCATCATCGTTGCTCGAAGAAACCACGTTGGTTTTACTATAATCACTGTAACTGGCTCTGTACGTCACGCGCCACCGCACTCTCTTCTTGGACCCTTTGAGCTACATTCGTTCTCGGGCTCATTCATCGGCTCTTCTACTCTTTCGGTGCAACTCTTGCTGGGGGCACAAGGGCAACTCTTTGAAGGATTAGTAGGAGGGAAAGCATTGGCAGCGACACAGGTGATTGTTGCGGTTACTACTTTTATAAACCCTGCTCTCCGTCAGCTTGACTCAGTTGCCACCTATATGTGTGTATATATATATATATTGATGTTCTGCATTTTGGCAACGCTTATTTCATCTATCCTTAGCATATTGGTCATGAACGTCTCATTGTTTGTACTAAATAAAGTAACTCATTAACTCGATAAATCTGAATTTTTTTTATTTGATTAAATCGAATACTCATCTCTAATTATATGTTCGTATTTATCGCAGATGAGGTCAAATACTTCTTCCATCCTTGTAGTAGGAACAAGAGCCACACCACAAAACCTGTAACATTAGTGCAAACTAATGTTTTGCCCAAGCTGAACCTAATCAAAAAGATCAATCGAGCAGAAACGTCTTCCACCAAAGGCCGCCATCTACGGCGTTCGTATACGGAAGGATATCAAAACACGAGAACATCCGGACTCTAAATCAACATGTTCGATACAAATATATCAAGTCGAAGGAGAAACCAAAAAAGGGTAAGTATCATTAGCAGCGAAACACGTCCCCGGCATTGTGCCGGCATTCGGACCCGAAGAAAAACCTACACACAAATGTCCAATGCACTGCACATTTCACTTTCAATCAATCACAATGCAATGGTCTGTCTTCTTTAGCAATGAATGCTGGGGACACAAACGACTTCTCAGACTAAAATGTCTAATAAAGCGGCTGTGCGACGATCACGACATCCACATTTAACTCATGGTTCATCACAGACTGGAAAAATCCAGCAGAATGCAATTGGAATGCTATGTTCGATCCGGTATCGAATGTTATGATCAGAAAAAAAACAAGAAACCCAACAAAGAAAACAAAGCGAACTCCACAAGAAAACTGTCATTCGAACTCGAGACGAGCACGATAATGTATACACATAAAGTAAGGTTCATGACATGTCTTTGATGATGAAAAGAACATTGCAGTCTAGGTTTCACCTTTGCTAAATATCAGAAACTTTCAAGAGCTGACATTAATCCCTTCTTACCTTTGTTTTCCATGATTCGAAATTCAGTTAATCAAATATGATTATATATGATTACGAGACCCTCATCGAGCGATTTCGAAGGTAAAAGTCGAAGGCCAAAGACAGTAACAGCAAAAAATATATGTTAATAAGGATTCAAGTCTACAAGAAACAAGAATTTACCAAAGACTACAACGCATACCCCCGGAGACCGATCGATCCAACGGTTCTAACTCGAACAGATTATCTCAGTTTCTTGGATTACCATATCCTGAACCACCGAGGAAGCCACTGCTGGCAGCGGCGTAAACTTCGGATGGATCGAGAACCGGAGATGACGAGGACCCCCCATTTATCCCACCACCACCTAAATGCAATTCGGATATATTAGGAATCCCATCTCTTCCTTCAATTCCTTGATCATAAAGAAACCCTTTGAAAACACGGCCACCAATCTTAACAACTGCTTGATAAGCATACTCATCGTCACCGTCGTCCACCGCCGTCACTCGTACGCACTTGAACACCGCCTGTGCGCGTACTTGCCCCGGCAATGACTCCTTAAAACCGGCATCTGCATAATATTTACATATAAAATCAAAACTAAAACAAAATTTTCCGAACAACATCTATGTCAATGTATTTGAATTACCCTGGTGACTAGAGCTTGTGTCAGAGCTTCTAGGAGGAGTAGTATTCGAAGTTGATGTATGAGAGGTAGTTGTAGTTTGAGATGTTACAAGTCTCGGTTTCTTTGCACCCGATGTCGACCCCGATGAGCCGGCTCCGACAGTCATGGCAGCCGCCGTCATGAGCTGACGTTCCCTTCTCCGAGCAGCCGGTACCCATGTGCTCTTCACGTGAGTAGGGCAATCAAAACCCCGACTTTTACAACATGTTCTACACCTCCTACGGAAACAATCTTTCTTAGCTTGGTTCCCACAATCTTGACACGTTGCCCCCGAGCTAGAACCCGAACCAACGCTCCCTCCTCCCATCCCGCCGCCGCCGCTTCCGGTTTGTATCCAATTCATGGAGGAATTATTGTTGTCAGGGAGTGAAGATGGTTTCTTAAGATAATGAGTAGTAGAAGAAGAATTCTGGTTCTGCCATAGCTGCATCCCACTGAGTTTACTACGACCATTGTTATTCAACAAATCAGAATCCTCCACAGAATGTGGAGGCAAACACGGAGCCGCCGTCAGAAGAGGGATAACACCAACGCCGAGTGCCGTGGCGCCACTCGGACAGTTGATTTGCTCGTTTACCATGATGGGATCTTGAGTATGGTGGTGGTGGTGATGATGATGATGGTTAAAAGACGCAGGAGCAACAACAACAAAATCCCGGAGACCAACCATCCCCATCTCAGTTGGAAGTCCATAGTTGATCGGTCGAGCCAAGGGCGGCCATTGAGCGCTGGTGAATCCAATTGGCGCCGCCGTAGCAGCGTTGGCATCGAAACCAAGTGAAAGATCATCAGGACCAGCTCGGATTGCTGTGGAGGATGATGTCGCCCAATCAGCAAAGGCGCCAGTGTCCGAAGGTAGCTGGCCTCTTGTAGTAGCCACAGTGACTGATAAAGATAAAAACAAAACTATATATACATATACATATACATAAAAAAAAAAAGAGATTCTTTTCAGAAGTGGAGAAATGGGCAATCTAAGAAGATATCTATGTGGGTGTTATATAAGTTTTAGAGAGAAAAGGATGAAGGTGGGGTCAAAATCTCTGAAATTTTTGCAGAAGATAAAAGGGAAGGTTTTGGAAAGAGAGAAAGACAGAGAGATCTTGTTTGTTGGTGACTTTCCAATATATATATCTACATAAACTCATACATATACATATATATATATATATATATGGCTTCTGCAAGTAATCAGCTGCTACTGAGAGATGATTGAGTTCTGCAACTGCTGCAGTAGTCTTCTAATAACAAAACAAAACCTAAAAGATCAGTCTTTCTCTCTCTCTCTCTCTCTCTCTGTATATATATATATATATGTATGTATATACATACATGTAAGCCAATTATGAAGTACCCTTTTTTCTTGTTTTCTTTCTTCTTCTACAGCTGTTATGGGTAGCCGACCTTTCCTTCTCCTTTCATCGTCTTCTTCTGGCTTGCTTGTTTTCCTTTTTGTTACTGGTTTTTAGTTAGAAAGAGAATGAAATGGGTTCTTCTTTTTTCTTGTCTCTCACTTTCACTAGCTTCCATTAATTTTTTATTTTATTTTTTTTGTTATCGATTCTCTTTCTCTCTCTCCAATAATCACACTATTTACTATAGAAGAAGAAAGGGTATACAGAGTTTTGTTCTCTGGTTTTTGTCATTTTATGCCTTTCTTTTCCTTTGGGTTCTTCTGCTTTCGCTTAACTAGAGTGTATACTGACTTTACAAGTAACACCAAATATTTTTTTGGGTAAAGTATAGTAATGGTCACTGAACATTTCTGAAGCTTGCATTTAGGTCCCCCAACTTTTAAAACTTGTAATACAGTCCCCCAACATTTATTTCGCTTGCAATATGATCCCCCAACTTAAACCACCGTTAGAAATTAGGGTAAATTATATAAAAGGTTATTTAACTTTTCAGACACTTGAATTAGGTCCTCTAACTTTAAAACTTGCAAAACAGTCCTCAATTTCATTCTAAACCCAATTTCCAAAGTAATTCAATTTCATTCTAAACCCTAAATTCCAAAATAATTCAATTAAATTCAATTATGTCAGATTATTATTATTTAATTTCATCTTATTTCATGTGATACGTATTTTTTATATAAATATATAGTATAATTCTATCTGTTGAATAAATTTTTTAATTAAAAAAGTAGTTAGATATAGAAGAGGTTGAAAATAATTCGAATTTTAAATTTATAAAATGTTATTTTGACGTATAAACAAAAGTGTAAATACTAGGTTGACAACTTAACTATTAGCCCTTTTACTTTTGTCATCGATCTTTTAAATTATCAATCATACAACATAATTATTTAACTGGTTTCAACTAAGCCTAGTCGTTACCAATTGATACAAATGATGAAGTGAAAGTTAAAAGGAATTGACATTATATACATTCAGTCTTTATTATTTATAATCAATTTGGTCCTAAATTAAATAGAATTAATAAATAATCATTTAATTAGGATTAACATGTGTTAGCACATGATAATGACACGTGTCATTGGTGACACATTTCACAACCTAATATTATATATGCTATCAATTTGGTCCTAAATTAAATAAAATTAATAAATATCATTAACCAGGATCTGACATGTGTTAACACATGATCATGATATATGTTTGGTGACACATGTCACCACCTAATTAGAAGAAAATTAAGTTACAAAGAAGTAAATTTGATCTTGGGCAAACTAAACCTGAGTCACGCAAATGAAAGATACATGGTAGCCACTAAGCTAACACCATCGTTTGTGTTCCTAAATTAAATAAAATTTAATAAATTAATCATTTAACCAGGATCTGACATGTGTTAACACATGATCATGATATATGTTATTGGTGACACATGTCACCACCTAATTAGAAGAAAATTAAGTTACAAAGAAGTAAAATTTGAGTCTTGGGCAAACTCAAACCTGAGTCACGCAAATGAAAGATACATGGTAGAGCCACTAAGCTAACACCATCGTTTGTGTTAAGAGATATACAATAATACATATACTAATAGTATGGCCAATGCTAGAAAAAAAGAATATAATGGAAAATGGAAATAATGAGATTTGAACTTCGGCAAAAATTTGAAAGCAATAAATGATGGGAAATATTATATTTTTACAATAAAAAATATTATATTTGATAAATTGTTTGATAGATTTAATATATTTTTTAAATATTAGTTGATACAATATTTTAAAAGAATAAATTTAAGATTTATATATTTAAACTAAATTTAATAATTATATTTCATATTATAATTCATGATATATATAATAAGTTGAGTATTTTTAATATAATTAATAATTTTAATTTCTTATTAAAAATAAAATATTCAAAAAATATAAACGATTCATACATTAATATATGAATATATTTTTTATTTATACATCTAAATATAAATATACATTTATATAAATATATTTATTCGTATATTGAAATATTTGATTAAAATATAAACATATTTTAAATACTAGTTTATACAAGAAAAATAAAATATATCAAAAATATAAATGATTCATACATTTAAATATAAATTGAATCATTTATATTTTCTATACATCTATATTTAATAAGAAAATAAAATTATTGGGGGATTGTTTTGTAAGTTTTAAAAGTTGGGGACCTAACTTCAAGTGACTGAAAAGTTCAATGACCGTTTATATAATTTACAATAATTTTCTAACAGTGATTTAAGTTGGGGGATCATATTGCAAACAGAATAAATGTTGGGGAACTGTATTGCAAGTTTTAAAAGTTGGAGGACCTAAATGCAAGCTTCAGAAATATTCAGTGACCATTACTATACTTTACCCTATTTTTTTTAGATTTTAGAGTAGTTTTTAATGTAAATAGATTCATATAATTCTTTATTTTTTATTAAAAAAATAAAATTATGATAAAAAATTTATAATTATAAATATAAAATAAACATGTAATTATGATATTTTATTATAATTATTATATAAGAAAATAGTTATTTTAGATCATATAAGGAAAAAATTAAAAATTTGTCTAAAAAACTCGAACAAAAAAAATTATATGAACATATCTGATTATATCAATAAATGAACCACAATAAAGGATTAAATTATCAAAAAAATCACCAACAATCGTAAATCAAAGTCGAACATCGTGAGATAACTATCTTCTAACGTAAATCACGTATCTAAATCTAATCTTAATGTTTAAAGCAAAAAAAAATATCAACATAATAATAAATAAGTTTGATACGATGTCAAATACATCCCAAAAAAAGAGTCAAACAATCAATAAAAAAGATTAAAAACATGTAAAAAAACATAAAAACTTGTTATAAAACATAAAAATACATATTATAAAGACAGATTTATTAAAAATAAAAAAAAATAAAAAAAATTAAAGAAGGTCAACATTAAACAAATTCTAAAACTGATGTCACCGCCATTTAATCTAAAATTAAAGCAAAACAAGATAGAGGATATGAAAAAGGAGAAATATAATTTTTCTTATTATTGGATCAATAAATTATTATCGATATAATATATTTTTTCTTATTCTCTATAAAAAGTTTTTAATTTATTTTGTTCTTAATATCAATTAATCATTATTTATTATCGATTGTTGTATGAATTTTATTTAAAATTGATAAAAAAAATTTTATTTAAAAGTTCCATATTTTAATACTTCATTATTCTCTAATGATTGTTTGATAAGATTAAATTTTATACATGTTATTTGCATATATAAGAAAACACTCAAATCCCAAAAATTCAATCTTTTTATATTTAATTTTGAAAGTTTTAAATAAATTTTCAAGATAAATGGATGAATGACAATAAGATAAGTTCGTTAAATGACAATACTTCTTTCTAAAAATGATGTTTAATGTTTTTCATTTTCTTTTAATAAGCGTGGCTTCACGCTCTTTCCACTCGCGTCTGACTCCTCGTTCAACTACAAAACAAATGAATCAGGGACCGACCATTTGAACTCCTCATTTATTGGTGCGTGTTTCCACGCTCCTTAGTACCCAAGATTAATCTTTTTAATTAACATAAATTAAAATCTAAAACAAATGGGATCGTGGATAAAATCCACGTGTTGGACTAAATTATGTATGGGATCTGCTCTGCTTTTGTTTGGTTCACGGAATGTAAGATTATCAGTGGGAATAAAAGATTATCAGATAATAGAATTACTAGGAATGTTGTATTTTGTATTTGGTTGGATTAGCAGGAATGTAAGATTATCGTGTTTGGTTAAAAGAATAAAAGATTATTATAATGTATATTTAATCAAATTGTCCTTATTATATATTTGATTTATTAACAAGTTGAAAAATATTTATATATATATATATATTTTAAAAATTAAATTCATAAAATATATATATTTTTTTTACAAAATTGAAAAATATAAAAAGGTTTAATGAAAGGATAAAATTATATTTTAACACTTAAATTTTATATAAAATTTTAATTATAGATTTTTTTTGTAAATCTAAAATAGTTTAAGGATAAATTTGTAATTTAACCTTTATAGAATTTTTATTATTCAATGACAGAATAAGAATAGTTTTGAAAAGAAAAAAAAAATATTTTAGTTCAAAATATCGGTAATCCAATAATATCTAAGGAAATGGAGGTAATGACATTCCCAGTAATATACCCCAAAAAATCCACTATTGATAATGTAAGATTACTGGGAATGACATTCCTGGCCAACCAAACGGAGAATGTGGAAGTAAAAATATATTTATTAATAATTTTTTTATATAATAAGAACACAAATAATATTTTCAAATAAACACTACTAATAAAATAAAAAATAAATTTTCAGGGTGTATAAGTATTTACTCTAGACAACATCTATATCTATCATTCTACTTAAAATTTTCAGTCATTTTGATCTTAATTTAAAATTAAAATTTTTATTTAATTTTTACATGTATTTATGTTTATAGAGATAAACATGTGATTTTATATTAAAATGTGAACTTATAAAACTTTAAGGAATGAAAATATATTATCAATAAAAAATATAAAAAATAATATCTAAGTTATATATAAATTTAAAATTTTCAAGAGACGAAATTCATATATGCATATTTGATAATGTTTTATCTATGTTTACTTTATTTCGAATTTTAAAGTAAAAGTTTATTTACGATTTTATCTTATACGAATACTTTTGATTTGGTATGATAATGAGATAATTAATATATATATATGTATAAATAATATAATAATTACTTTTAAATATATAAATAACATTATAGTAATTATCTTGAAAGGGATAAGATCAAAGATGTCTTTTACCTTAAATTTAAATTGGAATTTTTAATTTAAAATTAAATTCAAATATTTTACCAATACCTATTATTTCTTATCTATTTGCTTTTGAACTTGGATTTAATTCTGCCGATTTTATTAAAAAGTGTTAATCAGTGTCATTTAATAATTTAAAAACATTTATACTATAATTCAAATAGGGTTTTTAATCATAATTTTTTCTCTTTCATTTGTGTCGTTGATAGTTTTTTTATAACAGACAACGATACTAGTTTTAATATT